AAGTGAAGCAGTTGTACAGTGGAGAGAAGCTTTGGTAGAAATAGGCTGATGAATAGAACTGTAAATGATCCATGCATATGCCTTTTAGATTATTTTAGCAAGTAAAACTCAGCTGGGTGGCAGACCTGTAAAATTTATGGGCTAAAGGCCTTTCTTAACTTAAAGACAATAAATGTTTATTAACATTTCAATTGTTAAATTGTTAACCTCACTGTTCTTAAAAGTAATAGACATAGGGGGTTTGTTCTGTTCTTAACTTTGTGCCTATTTACTCAGTATGGAGAACACGCTCCAAGCAAAAAGAACACAGAAAAAAAGTTTGACTCAAAGCTATACTGTTGAAACTTAAGTTCATATTCAGAGGGCAGAAAGAACTGACCAGAAAGAATAACATTGGCACCAAACTGCTTAATTAAGTTAAATCTTACATCCAAATTAAGAGCGTTGAATAAAGTTGAAGCATGCTTCAGTGCCAATCACAGCCTGTACAAAATATTGTCCTACATGTCCAGTTTAAAAAATAATTGTAAGAGTAATTACTGAACCAGTTTTGGTGCCAATATGTGGTAGGTTTTTGAATATTGATGTCCTCCTGAATACCATCTCAGTAGAGGTTCACAAGCAACCATAGTCCTTCGACCTCTGGCTTAGACTGCTTAGTACTCCAAAGAGTTAGAGTAAGGATTTTTACTAGTACTCCAAAGGGTCTCATTTCCTCACATAGACTATTAATATCCTCCCAACTTCTCCATATCCTCAACAAATTAAGTAGCAATGGAACTTGATTTGGTGCCTTGAATCCCAACCAGTCTTGAAGATAGAAGAATTTATTGCTGATTACTGTGGTCCTTGCCTCTCTTTCCTACTGCTGTTGATGGGTATATTAGCTGAAGAGGATTAGATATCAGGACTGTGTTTATCAAGATAAACATAACCTTCCAACTCTAGCCCTAGCCAGTTTTGTAATCTTCTGTTTAGATTTTTGCAGAATGTTGAACATGGGGCTCCATTTAAAAATATTCTTGAAATTGTTTAACAAATTAACAGAGTTGGAAGGGGCTTTGTAGATCATCTAGTCCTCTTCAGCT